CCCCCCCCCCCCCCCCCCCCCCCCCCCCCCCCCGGCCGCCCCCCCCCCCCCCCCCCCGCCCCCCCCCCCCCCCCCCCCCGCCGCGCCAGTCGAGGCCGGCCTCCACGACTTAAAACTACAACACAACAAAGACCATTTCCGACTCTAGCCTTTTCAGGGAGCATCGGGCGTCTACGCTCCCTACGCCGGTCGAGGTGAGAACCATCAACGAGGAGTCAGGCAACATCTGTGGCACAAGTTTCAACCGACCTCCGCCTGTCAAGTTTCCATCGTTGGACCTGATTGTCAAATATGGAGCCGACACCACCGTGACAGAGGCAGACCCAAAATATGGTATACAAGCAGTTGAATGGCAAAGTACCAGTTCCTGAGGTGTTGGGGTGGACCGAAGACGGTGACCAAGTCTTTATCTATATGTCTTTGATAGGGCGCGAAACCTTGGAGCAAATATGGGGTGCTTTGAACGACTAGGAGAGAGAGGCTGTCTGTAAAGAGCTCAACGGCATGGTTAAGTCTTGGAGATCGTTAGAACAGCCCAACCAAGTCCTTTATGTGGGTAAGTCTCATTGCGGTAGCTACGCAGAACTATGCTAAAGTGCTTCCTAGGTGGCCTAAATAATCAACCTCTAAATGAAATCTTTTTTTTTGGCCACCGCGACCTGGCTGCCCATTCTACGGTGCAGACGCCGTCCATAAATTCCAGAATGGCTGCGATATCGAGATTGATGGGGAGGTGTCTATGGTCTTCACGCATGACGACCTTGTGCCCCCAAATATCATTTTATCGCCCGGGCCGAATCCAGTAGTAGCTGCCGTCATTGATTGGGGCCAGGCAGGGTGGTATCCTGCTTACTGGGAGTATTACAAGGCGCGTCACGTCAGGCCGAATCCGGAATATTTTGAAGACTTGGAAGAAGAATGGAGGACGAGATACCTGCCAACTATTCTGGACCTGGTCGATGATGAGACTGTATACCACCTTTGGCTGTGGTTTGTCTTGCCTGAGGGTTTCTAGTCATGTGAATGAAGATGTGGGACTATAAAACCGTGGTAGATAGAAAATATATATGAATTATGTATATACTGTATCCCTGACAGTAGTTCCTAGAAGATCTACGGCTCCCAGGAGTGAATGATGTAGCTTCAATGAACGAGGAGTCAGCTCATACTAACTATGTCTGCTTGGTCAATGGACCTAGCCAAAGCATGAGATTCGCCTGCCGTCTTCATATTGAACTGCGGGTCAGTTGCGATAGCATCCTGGAGATTCAAGAAGGCGATGTGATCTTTTGCAAAAGGTTCGATGTATGAGTAAATATTCTACCTTTATCCAAGCTTCAAATTTAATTGCTTATTAAATACCAATTCCCAGTTTATATACAAAATTCAGAGTCAGATATGCGTCTCAAAAGCGGTTATTTTCGGCGTCAATCCTATAGGCTATGTGTAAAATTTGAGGCCCAAGGTTCTTATTCTAGATTGCTTATAGTTTTTTATTCCAAGATGGAAAATACAGGTACAATATTGTAGTTACCGAGGACGGTGAAATGAAGTACAACATAGAAAAGGACTACTCCGTATACTATACCCCCCTTGCATCCCTCCCCACCCGAGCGGAGGCATATAATAACCACAAGTTTCCATTTCACACCGCTATTTTCCTGAATTGCCACTCTATCTATTGAGCGATTTACAACCTCATTTCGGTTAGTATACTAGTCGGCGGATTATGCGTTGTCCTTGACGGTGTAGGATTAATAATCTGATCCATTTGGTCTAGGCTCATATTATGGATGCGATATACAATCCTCTAGTCTTTTTTAATTTCTTTTTAATCGCTTTCATCTTAGTATATTGTATAAAGACTCCCGCACATAATCTAAAAAGTGCCCCTATAGGCACGTGACTGATCTGCAGCCTCCCGGGATCCCCACTTGACACTCCCGAGGTCGCCTTCCTCCCGTCCAATAAAACCACTTCCGAGGTCCACCACCGGTTTTCCCTCCGTTGTGTACATTTCATCGCCTCATACGTCATGCCGAAGAGCAGCAGCACATCTTCAGTGAAGCGTCGACTTCGAATGCTGATCCATGGCCGTAGAGCTCAAGTGATTTCAAGACATTATGGGTTCCAAAATACAAGACCAAGAGCAGCAGGGAAGGTTCTCCCCACGTATATGCAAACCAATCTGCTACCCCAAACCCAATCTTCTTCGGCCGCCGGCAAGCATCCAAACGCCGCTCCTATCACTGCTCCTCGGCTGCGTGCCCGAGGAGCCGGTGAGATTAATCGCTTGGACTAGTTTTTCCTGGCCGTCTCCGCTCCCTTAGAATGTCTGCACACTGGCGGTCAAGATGCACTCGCCAACGATATTATGCATCATATAAAAATGCTAGTGGCAGAGCATTGCCCAGCCGGCTTACAATTCAGGGACCTGAGATAGTCTTGCAAATCAAGCCCAGATTCGGTTGCGCTTTTAAATTGATCCTGAAAAAAAAATAAATCACATATCCCTTGGCTTGTCCTCGTAAATGAAATATCGGTTATTGCCGTACACACCCTCCACAATGAATATGTATTCACCCAATCGTTTTAGTGTGGAATCACGATTTAGGAGCTTCGGGGTCACCCTCAGCCACCAGCTTTCCAACGACCAAGTACTTCTCCATGAAGCGGTCTTCCCAGGACTGCAGGTTCTCCAGCTGATCCGCATCCAAATCCTTCAAATCATCCAACGGCGCCGACAGATCCGTGGTCAGCATTTCCTCATCGAAGCTCTGGAAAGCCAAGCCGCGCGACGCGTCCCGGCCAGCGAAGTTCTCGTAAGGTCCGCCCTGTTACATTTCGTCAGCTTCAGCTCCAACAGCGCCACCCGGTGTTCTTTCGCGAATTTCAAACACATACCGGTCCATAGAAGTTCCTGCCAGGAGTGACGTCGAAGACGCGCCCGCGGACAGACAAGTAAACGGGGCGGCCTTCCTCGCCGTTGAACTCAATAAGAGTTTTGGGAATGTAGGTCTTAAAGACAGTTGGCGGCGGCGCACGGGGGAGAGTGATGGGCGCCCTGGGACGGAAGTGCCAGTACACCAAGACTCCGAAGAGCGAGACTAAGACTAGGTTGATGGGCGTCGCGATAGACATCCTGTTGGGTAGCGGTTAGTTGGGTTGGTGACGGGTGAGATCTGGGGGGGGGGGGGAAAACCACCAAATACGGGGGTGGCCCCAAATTGTATGCATTTTTTTTTTGTATTTTTAGGGGGTTTACAAAAAAGAGCCACAAAGCACAAACCAGACGCGCGAGATATTTTTTATTTTAGAA